TATTGATCTGGATACCCAATCAGAATCCAGTGTAAGATCTCTATTGATCTGGATACCCAATCAGAATCCAGTGTAAGATCTCTATTGATCTGGATTCCAATAATTTTCGTACAAAATAGCTGCCATTAGACAGACATTGTTTTTGTTTCGAGGATCTTTATGGCTTTCACTCTACGACGAATGAATTGACGACTCTTAAAACTCCATTGTATGTAACCTACTTTAACCTATATCTACCTGTTGTAACCTACCTGTTCACCTGTCTATCAAGTCTCAAGCTGTCCTACTTCAATGGAAATCTGCAAACATGACACCACACCCTAAAGAATCTCCTATCTCTAAAATGGAACAATGAAGATCTATTTCAGTCACGGACATTATCATTAGATTATTTGAACGTATAATTTATACTAGAGAGCAGTGGCGGATCTAGGGGTGGGTTTGGGGGTTGCGACCCCCCCTATGAGAGCCATCATGATTTATTATTATTATTGATATTTTTCATGACAACACCAACAGCATCGCGAGTTTYATTAAAACAGGGGTGCCGAACACATTTCGCTCGCTTTTTTTCTTTACGCCGTGTGTGGGACCTGAAACAACCATGCTCGCCTGCAGCAAATAATCATTATCATAAGACCTACTTCAGTTTGGGAACCCTGTGCTACTTTCCCGCCAAACAAGTACCTCAATCAATGCTACAACCCCCCTTTGAAAAAATCCTGGATCCGCCCCTGGAGAGCTTAAGCCTATCATAAAATCAGTTTTTAATGAAGATCAGTTTGCATATAGAAAGGGAAGGAATAGACCTTATTCGTGGTGTGACAATGTTTTCCCAATTCAGCGTGACGAACCTCCAGGGGATTCATTTTCTTTTGTTTTTGCTCTTCAAAAAATTTATGAGTATCCCAAAGGATACGAAAGGAATAACGAAGATATCCCGACGAGTTTCAAAACAATAGCTCTTAATTCCCCCAGAAGTTTGTCACGCTGAATTGGGAAAACATTGTCACACCACGAATAAGGTCTATTCCACCATGGCACTTTTGTTATGCCAACATATGTGGTTGAAATGGGTTAACGGTCAAGCTGATAGTGTAAGTGTTTTTGCTTTCGATTTTTCTAAAGCATTCGACCATGTTAATCATGCTTTTCTTTAAATAACAAGCTTAGTCAACTTCCAATGAATCCATGCATTTATAACTGGTTAAGGGATTTTCTTAGAGGGAGACAACAAAGAGTTGCTATTCTGATATGAAGACTAGTTTTTTTACCAATAAATAGAGGCGTGCCACAAGGCACAATTGTCGGGCCAATTCTATTTTCAATAATGGTAAATGATATAAAGTTCTAGGACCTTTTTAGTAATACGCAGATGATATCACACTAAGTACCTATAGAACCAAGTATAATGATTGTGCTTCTGAAGAGGTGGATTCCATTAAGAACTGGGCCGAAGATAACGAGATGTCTATCCTCTACTTTCACATCCCCATAATGCCTTGCGTCTTTGGGGGGTAACCAATCAAAAAACTGTCCCAAATTGAAATGTTTCCTTATTGAATTTGTACTATACCTGCTTTTATCTGTACAATACTGATCATCAGTTTATTCCAAGTTATTTTTGCGTGTACAGATCATCAAGAGTTTTGGTCTTACAGAAAATGTATTGACTTACGATGTTTAAAATTTACCTTAAACGTCTTAGCTTCTTTCTTTTTCTGTTTTTTACTTCTTCATCTTATTTTTGGATACCAAACAAGGTATTGTCAACATTGTCTGATCAGCCTTCAGCAAAATAAGTGGGTTTTTACCCTCTGGTTACCACCCAAAGTAGCAAAGTATTATGGGGATGTGAAAGTAGAGAATAAACTTATCTAAAACTAAAGAGCTAGTGGTTAAGGATAGATCAGATGCAGCTATTCCACCTCCTCTACCGGGTATTAAACAGGTGGATGATGTTAAACTACTAGGTGTATTTTTCAATCGCAGTCCAAATAACTGGGACTCTCAATTTGACAATATATTAAGTAAAGCAGGGAAAAGGATGTATATATTAAGAATCTGCAAAAGGTACGGATAACAGTCAGGAGAATCTTTATTATCTTTTTAATTCACTCATAATGTCACTTTTTGAATATGCTCTTCCTGTATGGGGGTGTGCAAGTCACTCAAAATATTCAAAAGTGTGTGATTCAAAAGGCGCCAAAACTTGTCGATTGTTTACGAGTATTATGAGCCACACTCACCGGGCGGATCCAAATGCGTGTAAATGACGTCAACGTGTTTGATTGACGGCAGTCTATTGCAAAGTGYACGTCGCGATTTGCACAATCGCGTCGCGATTTTTGTCTGAGGTATCCGCGAAGCAATGCAAAAGGCGGTAAACACTGCGCATTTCATATTGGAACTGTACTGACAGTCTTTTGCCCTTACATATCCACTTTGAATCCTTAAATCTAGAGTAGGTTAAGTTAGCTTCCCTAAGAGTTTCCGACAGATACAAAATGATGCCATTATAAATTAATGCCATTAAGCCAAGGTCGAAAATTTATTTGTTTTGTTTTTGTCTGAAACAGAATTAACGACTTGACATGCATTTTTCACTTCACTTATTTTTAGAGCTGCTAGAAAAATCAAATATGATCAAATAATGGATAATTAATGAATCCGGCAAGTAATGAATATTCAGAAACATGTAGATCACTAGTTATCTATTCTAACGTAACATTTGTGGTTGATGTCTGTTCTCCATATGTGGTGCTTCAGTTATAAGAATGACATCATTTCAAAGTCTTGCTAAACACCTGATATGTTTTTCTTTCGTTATTCGTTTAAATATTTATTGAGAATTTTACCAATAATGCCGTTGAAAATTACACAATAGTCTAAAGGCAATGATTTAATATGACAAACCGTTAAAAACATGAGTTGCCTAGCATGAATATTGACTTTAAAGGAACAAAGACAAAAAAGAAAGAAAAATCGTTATTCACTCAATCTTTATAAGGAAATTTAAACACTTTTATTCGTTCAATCTCAATTTCGAGTGGGGGGAGATTGCCCCCCGCCTCGCTACGCCACTGACCACCAATAACAAAAGCATCAACAAAAAGGCACCAAAACGCGAATTCATTATGTTTTCAGTTAATGTACATCTAATATAACACATTACAGCGGACCTAAATGCCCTAGCCATCTGACGTTTGTCCAAGTGTCTCTATCTCCTCTTTACACCCCATTCTTCTCCATACGGCGCGAGCTGCCCTGCGTATCTCTTTAACTTTCCAGCAATAAATGATTGGATTTAGTACACCATTGAACATGATAAAGGTCTCAGCAAATCCAAACAGCAAACGGATAGTCCTAGTATATTCCTGAACTACGTAATATGGTATTAAAACTACGATAGTAGGGACATAGGATAGTACAAAAGCGAATATCACACAGTACACAGTGTTGACGGATTTCTTGTATCTGCGCATGTCTATAGACTGTTGTACTGATTGCTGTTGGGCATGGATCTGCACTGATGCTTCTTGTTGGCGTATTTGTCGTGAATGTCGTTGAACAATTCTTGATATTTTGAATATACAGACAAAGTTGACGAGAAGGCCACCAATTAAAAACAAACCACCAAAAATGCTCGGTACCCAGCTCTCGGCAAATATTTTGGCCAAAGCAGTGAGTACACTGCAAAGCCAAAGCGAAGCAACTAGTATTCCATATCGTTGAATTGTGACTATTTGTTGGTACCGCAGATGAAGATAAACAGCAAGAAAGCGATCTAAAGTAATGGCTGTGAGTGTAGCAAAGGAAACAGAGCCAAACGAAAAAAGGGTTATCATATAAACCCAATAAGATGCACAAAATAAACCAATATTACGTTTCAATTCTGCCAATTTATAAACACAGAAAGCTGGCTGGGTTATTAAACCAACTCCAAAGTCAGAAACAGCTAAACTTAGGATTAAAATGTTAGAAGCCGTTCGAAGAGATGGTCGCTTTACAATCGTGTGAATGACAAGGAAGTTACTCGGCATTGCAACCAAAGAAATTATAATATTCAGCACTGCAAGTAATACCAATAGAATGTCGTTGTACGATCGCTCGGGATAGTGAAGAAACGTCTGGCCACACATTATGAGAAAGGCTGTATTTAGTTCTTCCACAATCAAATAAACGAGCGGGAGAGAATAGCCACGACAATGTAGTCGTACACCTGCAACTGTCGTTTCGTACTTTGCTTATCGTCTTAAATAAGTACAAATTAGAAAGTGTCAGTCGTCTGTTATGTTTTTACATTATTTATGAGATCTTTAATCAAAATGACAATAGAAAACACACTGTTTTTGTCTTTAGTAATATGTGATAAACGTTTTAATAAACTCAAGAGTGAAGGAGTTTAAATAGGTTTGGCTTTAACTAGTAGATGATAATTAATTTATATTGATGAGTTTGGACGGACTTGGAAAATATATTTATTCAGTAGAAACACAAACGCAAAAGGACCATTATACTACTACAAATCGACAGTCATGTCGTTATATCTAATGCTGGTTTTCAACCATTCCCAAGAGTGAAATAACAAAAGACACGGCGGCCATGTTGGAGGATATAACAAAAGAATTCATTGACAATTCTTTTGTTGAATTCATCCAAGATTGCGACTATAACGTAATGTGCAATCGAACAATCTCGTACCCAGAGCCTGCGTTTCTTTTGGCCTGCCCGAAGTCGACCGACAACTTCCAAGTGTGCAAATCAACCAGATGTTTGCTTCTGGTAGGTTAATCTTATCCAACGTGAATGAAATGCAGGTGATGTGCCAGAAATTGATGGTTTATGAAACCACTCTCAAACGCTTTGTGCAACATCTTGAGTTTCTTGAAATGAAAGCTCAAAAAAGGAAAGCTGAACGAAACACCCTTCCAAACATTAACTGGAAAGATGAACACGAAGTCCAAGCTCTGACAGCAAAACAACTAAAGATCTACCTCAAGCAGAACAATCTAAACGTATTAACAGGAAATAAAATTGCGCTGTTAGCACGTGTCCTTAATTTTGCTCTTGCTGAAACACCTAGGGATGAAAGAATTAATCCCAGTGATAGTAGTACAGAATTCCTGTCCAGTGAATACGACTCTGATTCTTCTGAAAACAGCTCTGATGTGAAATCAGATGACTCTGAAATGGACGGTTTTGTTGAACATTCTTATGAAGTACTATTTGTTGCAGACAAGGACATCGAACAAGTAAGCACAGGCTTGCGAAATCATGACAACAGGTATTCACATATTAAAGACATTTCTAATTGAAGGATGGTAATCATTGGGGGGGGGGGGGGGGGGGTAAAAACTAAAAATTTTGTTTTTAAGGGGGGGTACTGCCTAATCTTTTGCTTGATATATCTCATTTTTCAGCTAACCCCCTCCTGATAATTATTGCACAGTCCCTTATAGCCCGAGTAGCGTCCCAAAAGGGATAGGGGTGCGGGGGCTGTGGAGATTGGGTAGTAGGTGGAATGTTCTCTTCCCCACACAGCCCCCCGCCACCCCTCGCCACCCCACCCACCCCCATCCCTACCTCATCCTTTTTGGGCTGCTACATAGACTACACAATCTACACAAGTAATGTCTCTTTATGATT